TACATTAATTCAATTATTATTATTATTGATGGTGATGATGATGATTAATATTATTATTATTTATTATGATGATGAGGATTATTATTATTATTAATATTATTACTTTGATTTTGTATTCATTACTAATGTATATTAATACACATTGTAATAATTTAATTTGTAAAACTAATTTTTTTTTTTTAATAAAACATTTTCATAAAAATACAACAAAAAATATTACTACAATTATAACGAATGGATCATTCCTCATCCTTATTATATAAAAACATAAACATATAATATCTAAATAATTAATCAATCTAAAGTAAATGAAAAAATAATAATCATTTTACCAATGTAAACTTTGCTGTATGTAATAATATTAGTAATGTTAAAATATGTGGAATTTTTTTTTTTTTATATATATCTATTTTGCCAAATCAATGACAACGCAAATAAAACATTTGACAAAGAAGCGGTAAACAAAAATATAAATGCTAAAATATTTGGCTGTATCCTCACTTGTTATGATTCGCCCAGAATGAAAATGACTATCCCTGTTCTCTATGGATCTGCTGAACAGGTGGTCTTCAGAAGGGTCAGTAAGTATATTTAGCCTCTGAAACCTGAGCAAGCTGCTTGGGGATTGGCTGGCGGGGGCACATGATAATTTGGGAGCTGGTGCATTTGCTTTGCTCTTGACCAGCGTTTCTGAGGAGGGAAGAGTTGGAGGCTTTGCTGCTAAGGGAATTAATTAAATAACACTGGTAAGAGTCTTTTTTACCTCCTCTTTGTATCTACAGGAGTTGTCTGTTATCTGCATGGACCATAGCTCAGTGGCTGTGACAGTTTTTGATTTTCTTTTAATCAACTGGGACAATAGCAAGGACTTTGTTGGGATGTAGTCTGAGGACCTGTCTGCTCAAATTTTTGTTTCCAATGGTGTCTGTGCAATTTTGTTTTTCCCTTTCCAATGTATCCTGATGTGCCATCATACTGCTAGATCTACTGATACTTTGCACCAGATTTGTGACATTGTATATAAGTGAACTTATGTTCTGTAGAAGTCAGCTGTCAATGGAACTGCCATACAAAATTGCCAACGGTGCTGTTTATAATTGTTTTATACATTATCAGGATTTCATTTTTTTTTTCTGTTTCAACCTGTTACTTGTGTGCTTGGCACTAAAAAGGGGAAAGCATTACACGTTCCTATATTTAACCTGCGCTGGTGGGCTTCAGTTGCCTCAGAAGGTATTACAGCTGAACTGGCTAAACAAATCCAGCCAATCAGCCGGCGGTATTAGATGTCACATAACTCTGGACCGGAGCAGCAGCTGCTGAAAGGCTTCATCGCCTAACTTTGGGGACTGAGATCCCAGGCACTGTTATAAAAACCTAGAGTGAAAAGCTTTGACAGGCCCAGCTATAGCATTCCACGCCGCCCCTCGCCTTCTAAAAGTCTCCTGTGTTCAGGCATGAAACAAAAATTCCAATTTTGATGTTTTTCAGGTCTTATCCAAAAATAAGCTGCAGAAACAGTACAGCGATCCACGCCACAGGCCCATGCTGTTCAGAACGCAAAATTATCTTGTTATAATAAGGTTATTATCGCTCTTGTGTGTTCATGTGATGAGTCCTATAAATGACATTATTGCTTATGCATTTGTCCTTGTATAGTTGTCCGTCTGTCCATCTGTCCGTCTCCCTCCCTCAGGTGTTTCATTTACCACAGATATATAATTGTATGTTAACATATACAGGTGTGTTTTATATTAATAAATGTGTGCATGTGTGAGTGAATAATAGATAGATAGATAGATAGATAGATAGATAGATAGATAGATAGATAGATAGACAGGAAGATAGATATGGATTGATAAAAGGATTGATAGAGAAAGAAAGAAAGATACATAGATAGATAGATAGATAGACACACAGATAGAAAGAAGGAGATCTATAGATAGATAGATGGATTGATAGAAAAAGGAGATTTATAGATAGATAGATTGATAAATATAGAAAGAAAGAAAGATAGATAGATAGATAGATAGATAGAATTGGATTGATAGAAAGAAGGAGATCTATAGATAGATAGATTGATTAATAGAAAAGGGAGATTCATAGATAGATAATAGATAGATAGATAATAGATAGATAGATAAATGGATAGATAGATAGATAGATAAAACTGGATTGATAGAAAAGGGAGATTTATAGATAGATAGATAAATAGATAAAACTGAATTGATAGAAAGAAGGAGATCTATAGATCTTTCTATCAATATCTATCTATCTATCTATCTATCTATCTATCTATCTATCTATCTATCTATCTATCTATCTATCTAGTGTTTGCAATCAGTTGTATGTCCTTGCTGCTTCTGCTTGGCACTTCTATGTAACCCTCTCTTCTGTCCTCAGTTTGTAGGTGACAGGGAGGACCCGTTATAATGGCGGATGACGAGGAAGCTGAGGAGTATGAGGTAAGCTATATGAAGCATTGCACATCCATACAGCTGCTTATGTTATGTGTGAATGTGGAGAAAGTGACTGGAGGCCATTGTGATAGCCTGCGGGCTGCCGACTTCTTGAGATGTTTACAGAATGGTGAAGTAATTGAGAGAATAATGCTGCATTCCGATCAAATAAAACTTTATTTATAGCACGGAGTGAACACATGTAGTGTTCATCTAGCTACCTCATGTAACAGGTTTGATGCAGATAGTGTGATAGCAATGTACTTTGATACCCATTTAGTCAGCAGATCTGGGCACATACATAGGTATGGCAGGTATGTGTCATTCCCAGGGGGCTGTAGTCAAACTGGCTGTCAGTCTAAGCTGGCTTTGCTGTGATCTGTATGTCCGGTGTGGTCTGGGGGATCAGTGGAAAGGGGCCCAGTCAATGTATAATGGGTTCATGAAGTATACCGAATACAGCAATTTATAAATGTACTTATGTGGCAGTTATTACATGCTTATATGCTCTATGGGCCTATTTCCAAGGTCATTGCAAGGAAAGGCTTCATATAACTACTATTGTCCAGCAAACAGGTGCATGCTATTTTTTTTACTAAATTTCCACAGTCCTAGGCCTTCAAATTTAATGTTGGATAAAATAGGAACTGCTGTGAATCTTAGCCTGACAGCAATTTGTATAGTGCATCTCCTCTATGTCCTGAAGAACATTGTAATAGCTTTACCCAAATTGCTGAAACAATTTGTTTGCCTTTTGCAAATTGAGACTGAAGACAGACCAAAGTGATTTCTCAGCATTCCCAACCCTGGACTTAGTGTCAGTAACACAGTTTCCCATGCCTGGTATGAGTAGGCTGGCTATACATCAGAAAAGGCTTCAAGAGTCACCAGGTCCTCTACCACAGTGCTCCCCAACCTTTTTATCGCCGCGGACCGGTCAACGCTTGATAATTTTACCGCGTCCCGTTGGGCCGCGGTAAAATTGGCGTTCAAGTGGCGAAGCAGTTTTGAAGGTTTCATTGCCTCATTAGAGAGCTGGTCGCCGCAAACTATGCAGAGCAGTTTTGGTGTGTGGGAATCACCTGTCCCAATAAATCCATATTTCAAGTAGGACTCATGGTATTGTCTGTTAAAAGTTACATGTTTCTTTGATGTTGAAGGCCCTTCTTCTGTCTCTTCACTGGGCCTTTTATTTTTCCCAAGGAAACTTTCTAACGACGTCTGTTTTGTACTAATTTTTGCTAATTTGTGGGTTAAATTAAAGCAAACACAATATACACGTACACCAAGCACTGTTAAACATGAGAAAGTACCGGTGAACAGAGAGGAGAGCGATACACACCTTCTCTTTACCAAAGCTACATCGCCACTGCCACTTGCAGCCGCTCAGCTCCAGACGTCTCCTAAAACCGCCCCGATATCACGGTATTTTGCGCATTGCGGTATTGGTGCGGCTTTAGGTGACGTCTCTCAGCTCCCGGTTAACCTCTTGTCCTGGAAAGTCGGACAAACCCAAGAGAAATACACCACAGTAAATAAAATGGAAATAATTTAATGTTGCTTGGGCGGCTCGGTACCATTTGATCCACGTACCGGTACCGGTCCCGCGGCCCGGGGGTTGGGGACCACTGCTCTACCATGTCGGAGAGTCTCTGCGTGGGGACCATTGGTGTCCAAGTCTTGAAATGGCTAATGCTAATCCCCACACAGCCCAATCATACCAAGTGATGCTCAAGTGTGTTACTTGCTTCTACTGACTTGATATGACCTCCATTATCTGAGATCAAAGGTTGACTAACAGGATTAAGGACTAACACATAGGTGTCTTGGTTTTACACATTGTTACCAGCGTATTCGTGCGTACGAATGCATAAACCCGAACCAATTTGCTGTGGGGTAATTTTCACCATTGCTCTTCAGCACTTTGCTCTCCAGAAAGCTGTGGCAGAGATTACTGTTACTCTCCACTTGCTTTATTGCCTTGTTGCTGCAGCTGAATCCAAATCCAGTATCTTGCTCCAGTAATTGCTATCCTTACTGCCCAATAGCAACCAAAAACATAGGGTCATTTATAAAATATGGTGCCGGAAATTAAGGTCAGCATGTAATTGGCGGCCATTGGTTTGCAGAGGTGCCAACTGAAAATAATCTACAAGTCCTATTAAGGCCTGGTTGAGATCTGTAGTTCCTCTGCAGGTAAAACATGGGTGCATATGTCCAGATTAAAGGATTTCGCTGCTATTCACATTTATATCCCTAAAGTCAGCCCAGCTCATAGCTCACAAGGATGGTACTTCAGTTTAAATATTTTTGGGATTGACCATTATACTATATAGCAGGGGCAGACAACATTGGCACACCCGCTGTTATGGAACTACAAGTTCCATGCGGCACTGCAGGACTCTGACCGGCACAGACATGTCTCTCAGAGGCATTAATTGGATTTTCACTTTCACCGCAGCTGGAATGCTGAGGTTGCCTACCCCTGCTATCCAGAATTATGGTATTTTTTGAATCTATATATCTGTCAGTGGCTCTGGCAACATAAACACTGCGTTCGCTGTTTCTGCAGGATTATCCATATCAGTACATTAGAATAAGATCCCTTTGCTTTATAATGTCTGCAAAGGAAATCTCATCACTGAAAGATTCAGAGAGGCTATAAGATAACATAATTTAAGTGTTCTGAATAGACTGGACCTCTAATTAACAGTTATCGCACCATTAAGCTGATACACCTCAGATGGAGTTTGCGGGGGCACAATCTGACCCCTAGTAGAGTCCCCTTTTACATTCAGACCTACCGCCTGCTGTCTGATAATGGTCACGTATAATTCCGTCCACAGGCCAGTATGTGGGAAGACAGGCCTGCTTCTATAATTTACTGGATGTGAAAACTGAAATGGAATGTTGGTTAAAATAGTTTTAGTGTCTGTCGGTGTAATCAGATCTGGGCTTTTCTGGAGCTCTACGCAAGTTATAGACTTGCAGCCTCTGTCCTTTGCATGCTTTGACTTTTATTATTTTTTTATGTATAGTTTTGTTTTATTTTTATGGCATTGTAACTTGCATGCAGGGGTGTCCAAACCTATCCTGCAAGAACTTAACACCATTATTTTGATTTCAAAACAGTTTATATTTAGTGGGTTGAAACATTTTGCCAGCATTGACTTTTTTTTAGTGTTATGTTGTTTTTGTCAAAGTTTATACAACATCAGCAAGGGAAGAAACGGGGGGAAAGGGTATGAGAGAGAACAATGTTGCATCACAGGGAAAAAAAAATATTGGTCCCACTGAGAATATGAAAATACCAATAAAATACCAATAATATATGATAAAATATATTATAAAATAGATATACTTTTTACTTTTTCTTGAGGACGCTTCGCTGGTCATCCACCTAGCTTTCTCAATTTGGTGGTCATCTGACTGGCTTTCTTAATTCATTTTGAATTGAGAAAGCTGGTTGGATGACCAGTGAAAGGTCTTCAAGAAAAATACAGCACGTCCAATTGCTTTGCTTTGACAGAAAAAGCATTTTTGTGGTTAATGCTGTATTGTCAAGTGCCTTCCTTGAAAATACACCTCAGATTGAGCAGTGAGCACCGTGGACTCGTTTCTTCTGTTGTTGACTAAGTTTTTTAATTCTTTTTTTTTCCCATCCATCCTGAAATTTTGCCAATAGTGAGTATCACTTTGGCTTTAAGCTTTCTACTTGTATCGATGACTGGCACAGTTCTGCTTCTATTCTACTGGGCATATACAAATTTGCAATGGATGGGGGTTTTCATTTGCAATTTGGCTTCTTGCCCAATAGTGAATTTCAATTCTGGATGTTCAAGTGAAAGCACAAGCAAATTATATAAATAAAATATATACGTTTACACAATAATTTATGTAAAGATTCACGTCAGGTATCCAAACACATGCAAAGAAAATCCCTGTGTATATGGTTGGATATTTAAAGTGAATTGTTGCACAGTTTATAGGGATGCACCAATACCGTTTTTTCAGTATCGAGTACAAGTACCAATATTTGTTTTTTTTCGGTACACCATGATACTAAATACTGAGGTACCGTAGGCCCAGCTTATCAGGAAGGTGGGTCATGACCTGCCGCCGGGCTTCCTGATTACCTAGGAATCCAGGGCTCTATTGAAAGAGCACCGACTTCACGCTCCATCGCATCACTGCGAGGCAGCCTGGCTTGCTGATTGGTCAGGAAGCCAAGTTACCTCGCAGTGTCGATAACTTGGCTTCCTGAGGCATGAAGCCGGCTTCCTAGCCAATCAGGAAGCCGGAAGGCGGGTCATGATGTGTTGCCCGGCTTCCTGACCGGTCTGCAAGCCAGGCTGCCTCGTGACAAGTGAAGCCAGTTTCATAGCCAATCAGGAAGCCGAGAGGCGGGTCATGAGATGCCGCTCAGCATTCTGATTGGTCAGGAAGCCAGGATGCCTAGCGACAAGTGAAGCTGGCTTCCTAGCCAATCAGGAAACCAGGAGGTGTGTCATGATGTGCCACCTGGCTTCCTGATTGGTGAGGAAGAGAGGGTGCCTAGCGGCAAGTCAAGCCAGCTTCCTAGCTTCCTATCAGGAAGACTTGATCCGCTTCCTGGCTTTCTAATTGGCCGGGAAGACGGCTCCTACTCCCTCGTGGCACTGCTGGTCAGAGGAAATCTCTCTCTGACTGGAAATTCTGGTATCAGGGTAAGTGACAGAGCATTTGGGTGAGTATTAGCCCAAATACTAAGTATCGGCACCAATACCGATACCAGTATCTGTATCAGTACATCCCTAACATTTCATGATGTGAACATTCTCAAATCCTTCAGTAAATCAGCCTTGTCTCAATATTCAAATAATATATATGTTGTTACTAGTATTCTT